GGCTCATGCCTGTAATCCTAACACTTTGGGAGGCCCAGGTGGGGGGATCACCTGAGGTCAGGAGTTTGAGACTAGCCTGGCCAATATGGCGAAACCCCAACTCTACTAAAAATATAAAAATTAGCCAGGCATGGTGGCACATGGGAGGCTGAGGCAGGAGAGCTACTCGGGAGGCTGAGGCAGGAGAATCGCTTGACACAGGGAGGTAGTGTCTGCAGTGGACCAAGATCATGCCATTCATTGCACTCCAGCCTGGGCAACAGAGCAAGACTCTGTCTCAAAAAAAAAAAAATTCAGATAGTCTAAATCTAAGTGAGTGAGAAACAATCATAAGGCTTTCAGACCTGTGGTAGGAAAATATTTTATCAAAAGGTTATCAAAAACGATAATCATAAAAGCAAAATTGATGAATTAGAATACAGTTAAAAACATTCATCAAAAGAATAAGAAAGTAAAAGAACAAGCCACCATAAAGTGCTAGAAATATCTGCAACCCATACCTCTGATAAAGGACTTGTATCCATAGTATACAAAAATGTCTACAAATCAATGAGCAAAAGGCAGAGAGCTCAGTTAAAAAATAAGCAGAAGACTTGAACAGGCACTTCAAAAAAAAGAGCATCTCAATGACCAATAATTATATGAAAAGCCAATATTACTCCTCATTAGAGAAATATAAATGAAAACCATTTACACAGTCACCAGAATAGTTAAAATAAAAAGACTGACAATATTAAGTGTTGGCAAAAATGTAGCATAAACTAGAACTCTCACATTGCTGATAAGCATGTAAATTGGTTCAAATGCTTGGCAAAATTGTTTGGCATAATAAAGTTAAACATATATCTTCCCTCTGACTCTGAAAGTTCATTGCTAGGTATGTGCTCCAAAGAAACAAATGTATATATCTACTAAAGAAAGTAGGAATATTCAAAACAGGCTTATTGATAAAAGTCAAAAACTAGAGCCAACTCAAATGTCCCTCAAAAGGAAAAGAGAGAAGCAAATTGAGGTAAATCAATCACACAGTAGAATAGTATGCAACAATAAAAAATAATTAATTGGCACATGCAACCACATGAATGAATCAAATAAATATTATGTAGAACAAGAGAAACCACACCATATTCTCTATGATTCCATTTATATAAATTTCAAGAATAGGAAAAACATATTTATGGTAATAGATGTAAAAACAGTAATTATTTCTGAGAGCAAGAAAACTTAAGAATTAACTGGGAAATATTATGAGGGAACATTCTGGAGTATAAGGTCCTATTTTAATTTGGGTTGTGTATACATGAGTGTATAGAAATGTAAAACTTCCTCAAGTGGTATATTAAAGATTTTTAAATTTTATTATATATGAAAAGGAGGAGAGCCATTAATAGAGTAAAAAGGAAAACAATAAAATGCTAATAGGAAACAAAGGACTTATATCTAGAATACACATAAAACTCTAGAAAAAAAAAAACCCTAACAAAAAACATACAACCCAATAGAAAAATGGGCAAAATATAGGTGTTTTATTAAAAAACATATCCAGGCTGGGCACGGTGGCTCATGCCTAATCCCAGCACTTTGGGAGGCCAAGGCGGGCAGATCACAAGGTCAGAAGTTCAACACCAGCCTGGCCAACATGGTGAAACCTTGTCTCTACTAAAAACAAAAATTAGCCGGGCATGTGGCAGGTACCTGTAATCCCAGCTAGTCGGAAGGCTGAGGCAGGAGAATTGCTTGACCTGGGAGGTGGAGGTTGAGGTGAGTCAAGATTGCGCTGTTGCACTCCAGCCTGGGCAACAAGAGCAAAACTCTGTCTCAGAAAAACAAAAACAAAAACAAAAACAAAATTATATCCAAATGGCCAATAAACATATGAAAGGTGCTCAACTTTCTGGGTCATCAGAGAAATGCAAATTAAAACCACAATGTAATGCCACTACAAACAAAGTAGAATTACAAAAATTACAAAAGACAATGCAAAATACTGGTAAGAATATGGAAAAAACGGCAACTCTCATTCACTGTTGTAAAGAATGTAAATTAGTTCAATCACTTTGGAAAACTGACAACATCTACTAAATAGTAAATATCGTTAGCCATAATAAATAAATATTAACATATTTTAAAAAGTAATTATTGCAAGATTAAGATTAAACTCTTTTTAACCCTTCTTAGGCCCAGAACGATCTTTAAAATGATGAATTATGTTAAATGCATTATAATCCCTCCAGGTGTGCTTCTAATCTAAAAAAATTAATTTATCCCTTTTAGAAGTTTAATAAATAACTGAGGCCAGAAACTTGAAATGAGTAATACTTTATAATTTTTTCACAATGACCAACAGACCTCATCGCTGAGAGCCCTGCAGGGGTAAGCTAGAGATAAGCCTGGCCAAATGCCAACAGCTTCACCTTTTTGTTGAGATTCATGTTCTTCATCTTAGCCTTCAGCAGCTTCATCTTATTCATAGTTATTGAATTTTCAATTATCTGTTGCCCAGAAGGAGAAGACTCAGTTTCTTCATCCTCATCTGTATACAAATTATACATAGAACCACCACTGCAAAGAAAACAGTAACTACTTGAAATTTGTTTGATATCTGCTCAGTGTCTAAAAATGCTCTATATTAAACAGCAATCTATAGATGTTACTAACGACAAAACACTACATCCATTTTGTCAATGTCAATGTAAGGAAAATATATTTCAAAGAATATACTTCTTAAGAGAAAAAATGAAATGGGAATAAATATTATGATCTAGCATTACTGAAAATCTACTATAGCTGAACTTCTCTGAATTCAGTATATGATAAATGAAGATGTTTTGGCACCTGCCATATTATTCCCAAAGAGGCAAAATCCATTTCCATGAGAATGTCTGATTTCATTTTGCCAGCCAAAGCTGATCATTGTGCAAACCAGACAACAAGCTAATGAGATTTCCGTGAATCAGAATTTTTAAAAAATTGGCACAGAAGAGAAGTACAGATTTTTAGTCATCCTGAGGGGATTCTAACTAAAAAGAAAATCATACACAGGTGTCATCAGAACATTTTCTATCTTAAAGAGCAAAAATGAAATTTTTTAAGTACAGATAACTTAAAATTTGTCTAAGTGTGTTTGAAAATGTAAAAACCTAGAATAGCATAGATTTTAACAAGAAAAAAGATAGTCTAGTCATGATACAAGCTATTAAACACGTTAAACTTTTCAATTACTGATCAACCACAGTGACATTATTTATATTTCAATGTAATTATATTTGGAGCCCTTCTTCTTTGATTGCATAATATAATGGCTTATTACACTATCCTCATATTTATACTTACATGTTTGTTTTCCCCCTTATCCCCCATATGTAAGCAAGTTGAAAGCAGATATTAGACTTTATCTTCTTAGTCTGCACCAGGCACAGTGCTTGACACATAGCCAATAAATGTTTGATGAACTGAACACAAAGATTTTGAAATTCCATTTATCTTTTCTATAACGGGAAAATTAGAATGGCAAGGATTTGATAAAACACAAGCTCAGCATATTTGGAGAATGATTAAAACTTTAAAGCAGAATAAGAATACATATTAGTTTCTATGCAGATTTACTTATAGGAAAAGTAATCTATGCTATGGAAGTATGAGGGTTAATAAAATTTCCTATTTTTATGGTTGTAAGAAATGGTAATAACTTAGGATAGCCTTAATAGGGAATATTCCTTAATGTTTCTGAAGCACATACTATCACCACACAAGAGCAAAAAAGAGAGTAGACAGCCCCATTCCTAAATTTTATATAGTGCAACACGAAATGTTCTGAAACTGTGAGTTAATTACACGAACTACATGCATGGGTATCAGAAGGAAGAATGTAGGACTGGTCTCCACAACCAGTTCAGTCTGTGATGCTTGACTTGTGACAGCCACAGTTACCTACTACAGTATGGCTACCACAGTATGATAACTGACAATGACATAAATTCCTGCACCCTCCCTTTTCAGGTATTGTATAGTTGGCCTCGAGACAAAAGCCTTCACACACTAGAAGTTCTGGCACTCACTTGAGTGCACAAGCATGATGCGGTAAGGCCTGTCATTTGGTGCCTTACTGCATTATGCTATGAGTAGTAGCAGGAAGAATCAGCTTAGGAACCAGATAGGGGATTTGAATCCTAAGTCTGCTGTCTACTAGCTTTTTTAGTCTTGAGCCAAATCATTTAACCTGTCTTACCTGGAGTTTCTTCATTAATAAAATAAGCTATAATATCTACCTTATGTAGTTTTGTGAGAATTAGGAATAAAGTGTAAGAAGTGCCTGGCAGAGCAGGCATTCAGTAAATGGCAGGCAGTGTTATTACTTCAGTGTTGTACTCTCATGCCTCAGCCTCTTGAGTAGCTGGGACTACAGGTGTGTACCACCACACCTGGTTAATTTTTGTATTTTTAGTAGAGATGGGGTTTCCCATGTTAGCCAAGATGGTCTTGATCTCTTGACCTTGTGATCCAGCCACTTCAGCCTCCCAAAGTGCTGGGATTACAGGCTTGAGCCACTGTGCCTGGCTCACAGCAGAATTTCTTTACAAAAATTAAAAATAAAAATGAAGCCATAACCAAAAAGTTTCCAGATGTTTATATCTGCTAACCAATCAAGGAAGGCTGTTTATCAATAGTGAATTAGTTCACTATTGATCATAGCAGTTAAGGAAGTATATCCTGAGAAAATAAACTTGTTTAAAGATTACTTTTCCAGCAGGAACAATTTCTCAAAAAGTTGACAGCATTGGAAGCAATATCAACAGTTGATTAAAAAATAAGGTAAATGGGCCAGGTGTGGTGGCTCACACCTGTAATTGCAGCACTTTGGGAGGCTGAGGTGGGCGGATCATGAGGTCAGGAGTTTGAGACCAGCCTGACCAATATGGTACAACTCCATCTCTACTTAAAACACAAAAACATTAGCTGGGCATGGTGGCGCGTGCCTGTAATCCCAGCTACTCAGGAGGCTGAGGCAAGAGAATCACTTGAATTTAGGAGGCAGAGGTTGCAGTGAGCCAAGATCACATCACTGCACTCTAGCTTGAGGGACAGAGCAAGACTCCATCTCTAAATAAATAAATAAATAAATAAATAAATAAATAAATAAATAAGCAAGCCAAATGATTGAGTCATTTTCCTTGTTTTTTGATGAATTGACATATATTACCCATATTGCTCTGTGTTGCTGTTTATTGCTGGTGTCAATACCAACTTTGAAATGACTGAAGACTTGGTCCCTATGAACAGGCTGCATGAAACTATTACAGGTGAGAATATTTTCAAAGAAGTTGCTAAACACTAATTTAGTACAAGTTTAAGTGAACTCCGCTATAACTGATGGGGTGATGTATGGAACAGAAAAAAACTTAACTGGACAAATTTATCGAGTTAGTGAACTT